TGTGGGCACGGCAGCCATCAAACCAAGCACTACTTTTAATGTAAAAATTACTTTATGTCTCATTCAACATTAAATGTTGAGATTGTGAAATCTTTAAAGGACTTGGACAATTAATGCATTAGAGTGAGGTGTCTCATTAAACCTGCTATTTATACATTAATACTCCGTGCAAGATTCACCACAAACAAAGCCAAGTTATCTTACATCCAAGTTTCATACACCCATTTCCGGTAGTCTTTTGTTCATCCGGCTTGACTTCTCCAGGTATTGAGATCATATCCGTGACTTTATGGTGAAAAGAAAAATAACCATCAACATATCGATACATGTATAAAAAAGAATATATGCTTTTTAATACGGAGTATGTAATATAAAACAGTACACAAAATAAGGTTTGAAAAAATTTCATAGATATCGTTTTTATATAGTAATATTTATATCAACATGCCACAATTTAAAAAATTATTGCTGCAAGTACTACTCTAAAAACAATAAAAATAGGATTAACATGTTAGGAGATTAAGAAATAATTCTATAATTAAATAAACACAAGGTAAATTAAGACGGAGATTAAGAAATAATTCTATAATTAAATAAAGGGTGTTTTGATTTACAAATATATGTATTTGTGTATTATAATTAAAAATATATGGATAGGTATACGTAGTAATTTATATAGGCTTAGATTTATCAAATATGAATATATTTGTGTGTGTGTGTGTCTATATATATATATAAAATTAAAACTGCATTGACACATATCAAATTTTAAAATTGAAATTCTTAAGAAAATAAATTTAAAACTGCATTGACACATATCAAATTTTAAAAATAATGTCTTTTGAAAATTATATAAGAATAGATGTAAAATTAGGTTGAAGATGGTAACAATAGATGTAAAATTTCACCACCATGTACCCCGTATTATAAAAGTAACAAAATTTTTTTTAATGGTAACAATACATGTTAGAAAAATTCAGTATATGTTACAAATTTAATAGTAGATGACAATAAAAAAACTTTTCAAAAAAATGATATCAATTATGCTTTAATTTAAATACATCTGTTTTTAAAAATCAATGTAAGTATGATGATATGAAATTAATCAAATTTCATAATTTTGAAAATGCACAAGGAAGCAAACTGGATCCTACATATTTATTGACCATATATATATATATACACACACACACACACACAAATAAAGAATTTCTTGAAGATGAAAATAATTTAGAACAGGACATGAAAAAACATTTTTTGAATTTTCAAAAGATGTTCGATTCATTTATGAAGCTATTCACTAAAAACATAAAATTTAACATGCATTGTGTTATTAAACAGATCTAAAATTTTTATACATTCATAAAATTAAAAATATCCTCTGAAATTTTTAAAACTGTAATAAATCAACATATCTTACAAAAATTCTAACCCTTAATAAATGTGAGTATGACTGGAAAGCAAAATTACGAACAAAGAAATAAAGATACCAGCGAAGAATGGCATGATAAACCGGCACTGAAAACCTCCACCGCCGATCCTATCAAAGCAAAGAAGATGGGCAGATCTAGAATTGGAGAGAAGCAACGGCGTATGTCTGTGGCCGAAATGCCTCCAGAGATAAGATGGGCAGCGAATATAATGTTTAATTGAAGGGCCAATTATTGTTTTGGGCTTTTTAATGGATATGGGCTGATTCATGGATTTGGATTATTTAAAGCAGCTGTGTTAGTTTTATTAGAATAATATGATAATACGGAGTACATAAATATGTTTTCCTAAAAAAATTAAAGGGCTGGGATTTTAAATGTTTTTTCAAAAAAAAAATTAAGTTATTTTATTTATTGAGCAATTATAACAATAATTGGTAGTTGGTTGAGTCCATGTTACAAGTGCAAGAGTACTCAAGAATCTGAATTTATGGAAGATGGTTGGAAATGCTTTACCGTACGTAGTCATTTTACGTGCTTACAAATTGGTGACGTGAGTTGGGGATTATTTTTCATTTGTGATGATTCTGCGATACGGACACCGCCTATACTCACACCACCTTTAGCGCGATGATCTGAACAACTTAAAATTCCAAACAAAAAGTATTTCAATCATCAGTATGTCATTGATTAAGATTATGAATTACTCCCTCCGTTCGGAAATATTCTTCCCGTGTTGACTTTGCACACTTATTAAGGAATACTAAAAAAAATACAAAATTTTCAAAAACGCACATACTATAAACTTTTAAATCTCCTTTTATTATTAAAAAACTACTAAAAAAGTAGATTTGTAATAAAATAGAAGGATATTATTGATATTTATCCTTAAAAAGTATACTATGAAAGGAAATGGGGAGAATATTTCCGGACGGACCAAAAAGGAAAGTGTGAAGAATATTTTCGGAAGGAGAGAGTAGCAATTATCAATATGTTCATAAGATAATTAATGTTGTTACTTTTGTATTGTACGGTTCTATAACGGTAGAACAATTTTTAAAAACTTTCAACATGTAATCTATAAGAAATGTCAGTATTTCTATTCATATTATGATTATTACTACTCTATTTCGTTTTATTTGATTCTATTTAAGTGTAAAATCATTAATATGCACTTCAAAATTTATATATATGACATATCTCGAAAATTATTTGAATAGAAAATAGAAGACCCAAAATTTCAAAAGATAATTACACGTCAATTCAAGAAGTTTTGTTGGAGTAAATTCGAGGACAAACTCTCTCTTGCATCCACTAAAAACATCATCCATGCAAGATATGTTCACTCCATCACCATTACTGAACTTAACGAATGGTATGTTCATTCAATCTTTTTTTCTATGTTGCAATTTCACGTGTTACAAGTCGTTAAGGGTTAAAAATCTTAATTTGGAATAAAGGCCTTCCTTCAACGAACAAAACTACGAATATAATTTATAAAGAAGTGTTCCAAAACTTATAACACCGCATTTCGACTAATGGCGTTACTGTACACTACCTTATTTAATTTGGGCAATTATCATAAAATTTGTAATCTCTTTATTTTTTTTAACATTTTATGTTATTCCAACTCAAGAGTAATTTGAGTTTTTTTACTCCCCGTGCATCGCACGGGTACGAGTCTAGTTAGAAATTAAAAGTACCCCTTGTCCCTTAAAAAATGTGAATGTTATCACGTCAAGTACTCTTTTTCATTTGAATTTTACTTTCAACCTCTCCCCACCGTGTAACGTTCTTTTTTATTTAATTATGTTTTAGATTTAAACACACTGTCCACTTTTTGTATTAAAAAAAACTTATTCTTTAGCCCATAAAAAATGTGAGTGGACGAATACTTTTGTTTCCTTAAAAAGCCTTAAGAATAAGAGATTTTTTGTAAGTCGACATAAAAATGATTTTTTTTTCAAGAGATTGCATTAGTAACATCTATTGGCAAAAGTAGGATCGTATGACGGTATGAGTATCGGTTCGAATCATTTATCTACGATGGATAAAAAGGAGAAAACTATGTGGTTGTCATGTATTTGAAAGTAATAAAATGAATTTTATCCACCCCACGGTTCAAGTGACATTGCCCGGCAATGTCATGGGATGATCCGGGAGCGCTCCGGTATCCCGTTCATAAAATTGACGGTTCCTACCCCTCCTAACCCCCCGGTAAAACCCCACCCGGCCCCGACCTGAACACACCCCCCACCCCCTTCAATCAACTTGTGGGGTGCAATTGAAGGGCGTGAGGGGGGGTGTTCAGGTCGGGGCTGGGTGGGGGATTTACCGAGGGGTAGGAACCGTCAATTTTATGAACGGGACACCGAGCGCCCCCGGGTCATCCAATGACATTATCGGGCAATGTCACTTGAACCTTGCCCTATATCCACATACTTGTTTTCTAAATATGTAAATCAAGTGTGAAGTTAATTTTTAGAAATCTCAAAAATGAGAAGTGTCAACACATTTGGAACAGAATATACAATGAAAATGACCTCAAAAAGAATTCAATATTGGCATTTCCTTCTAAATATTCCATAATTATTTTCTTTAAATTAATATCTACTAAACCAGCTACGTACAACTCAATTTGTATTAGAGTTAGTAGTAGGTGGAATAAAGTTAGTACCAAGACATCATATGTGTTTCTCGATGCTTATAAGCTGGTCAACAGTGTTTATAAGCAGTTTTTAACTTATAAGTCAGTTGATAACATGTTTCTATGTGCTTATAAACTACTTATAATCCAAAAAAATAAGTTGGTCTTAGGTACTTATTTTTAAGCTAATTTTTTTGTTTGTATGTTTTGACATGATTATTTACAAAATTGTCTCTCGCCATTTATGAATATTTACAAATGATAAGTCAGTTCTTTAAGTCATTTTATTTTTCACGAAAGAATACATGACTTATAAGCAGTTTTTAGGTTAAAAATTACTTATCCACAATGTGCTACTAAGCGCCTTCGGAGTATGTTTTGATATAGAAATAGTCAAATAGATATCAAAGTCAAAATGTTTAGAAAGAAGCAAACAACTAAATATAAATAGAGTGGTGTTTACATGATTCTAAGGTCTACATTTAAAATCAGAACTCGACGTTGACATATTTTTCATTGGCTTACATGTAGATATAAATGTTCTTTTTGAAAAAAAGACTCACATCTTTTATGTTAATAAACACTAAGGTTCAAAAAATTAGCATAGACTTTAAATCTACAGAAGAATTTGCCATATAATTATTTTAAAATTAAATTCCTCTTTGCCTATCAATTTTACTACTTCATTGAATAATTTATAGTTCAAATTTTGAATTATAATTAATTTAAAGGTCTTTAGGCACAAATCTTTTTAAAAATAGTGATTTTTAAGAGAAACAAGTACTTCACTCGTGCGTTGCACGGGAATTGGCTGATTTTTCTAATTAGGCAAAGGTTAGGACAAGTCTAGAAGTCTTCTCGATTTGATTTGAAAAATAAAATTAAACTACACTACTAGGCGCATTTGAGAGAAAAGAAAATAAATAGCACGAGTAAAGGACTAGGCATTGGACCAATGCATCATCTAGATCAACTACAGTTGTCAGTTGTCACATATTTAATCAGTAATTGGAATAATATTTGTCACAAATATTTCATTAACTTATCCTCTCTGTATGCAACACTAACGTGTTCTATAAAGTTTGGCTTAAATAATTTTACTCTTATAGACAAAGACAAGACAAAAGCTAATTTCCAATAGCACTGAGGCCCCGTTTGGTACACGGAATTCAAATTATGGAATTGGAATTGAAGACTTCAATT